GGCCACCAAGCCCACCGTGCAGGAGCGCTTCGCCTTCCTCTTCAACAACGAGGTGCTGTGCGACGTGCACTTCCTGGTGGGCAAGGGGCTCAGCTCCCAGCGCATCCCAGCGCACAGGTGGGCCGCGCGACCCCGCCCGCACCGGACCTTGTGCCCAGGCCCTCCGCTCGGGGACCCGGGACTCTCCGCCCGCGGACTCTCCCCACTCGGGACCCTGCTTCCAGGACCCTCTGCCCGGGGACCCTTCCACCTGGCATCCGAGGCCCCCCTCTTTGTGACCCTCGGGACCCCCCGTATTCCCAGACCCCTGATCTCTCCACTCTTGCCTACAACCCCTGCCAAACCCAGGCTTTGCCACCTCTGTGTCCCGCAGCTTACAACCCCGAGCCCTAGGATCTCCATCAGAGACCCTCATGCCTTTCGGCTCCCTGTCCCATGTTTATTGATCCAAGGGCCTTGCCACTTAGGTGAAAGACTGCAGCCACACTTCTCCTCAGCCCTTGAGACCCTGAGACCCCTCTCAGGCCCAGGATCACACCACTTGAACTAGAGACTGCCACCTGCCATCTCACTCATCCCTCCTTCAGCTACAGTTGGAAGGTGCCCCTTGGGCCTGAGGCTGCCCCTTGGCCCTGCACGGCTCCATCCTTGCCCCCTGACTTCCCACCCCAACCCTAGACCACTGGCCAACATGCCCAAGACTATCATCTTGCAAATCCCTCCTTCCCAGAAACCTCACCCCCAATCTAGGACCCTTCCTACACCGCCTTTCTGGAAAAGGAGTTTCTAAGCCTCAGAGGCCACTGTCTAGGGTACAGCCTCCAGGCAGTTCCCTGCCTGCTCCCAGTCCATCTCTTCCTGCCCCCCACTTCAGGGGAGGTGTGGGGGGAGGGACTCAGACTGCCTTTGGGGCCTGGAATGTTCCCTGGAGCCTGCCATGAGCTGTCCTTCCCTCCTGACCTGTGTGTAGAGACCATGGAGACAGTTCTTAGATATTTATGTACAGCTGAGTCTCCTCCGGTTTTCCCCACTGTAGTGCTCAGAGGTTCCAGTCTGTGGAGGGTCCCTGGAACCTCCTGTGGCCTGCCCCTTCCCTATCATCCAGAGGAGCTATGCCCCTCTCCCTTTCTCCCTCTCAAGCTTAGAATTGGGGACTGTCTGGTTTGTATCCCCATCGGTGCTCGCTATCCTGGGGCTTTGGGGGAGGGGTGCATGCAGCTGCATCCCACTTTGCAGCAGGTGGAATTGGAGCATCCCAAGGTTTCTGTTTGAGGGGCCTGGATGGGATCCCCCAGGTGCTGGTTGACTTGGGAGCATGTAGTTGACTGCACTTGAGGGTCTGTTGGCTGGTAGCAGTGTGGGGACAATAAAGGTGTAGAAGACCCCCAGAGAGAAGCAGGCTAGGGGTTTGGTCTTTCCTGTGCTTGGAAGGGATCTGGCAGGAGATGGAGGGTTGACTAAGGTGGGATGGGCATGGTACAGCTTACCCTTGAGCAATGCACGGTTAGGGGCGCCTACTCCTGCTCAGTCAAAAACTTAACTACTAATAGCTTCCTGTTGACCATAAACAGTGGATGAACACATATTTTTTGTGTTAGATGCATTAGCTATTGTAATATAATAAAGTAAGCTGGAGAAAAGAAAATGTTATTAAGGAAGAGAAAATGTATTTTCTATTCATGAAGTGGAAGTGGGTCATCATAAAGGTCTTCATCTTCATTTTCAAGCTGTGTGAAGAGGAGGAGGGGGTGGGTCTTGCTGTCTTACGTGTGGCAGAGGTAGAAGAAAATCCACATATGAGTGGACCCGCACAATTGGAACTTTTGAGGTTCAAGGGTCACTGTTTCTTTTTTTCTTTTTTTTTTTTTTTGAGACAGAGCCTCAAGCTGTCCCCCTGGGTAGAGTGCCATGGCATTACAGC